CTTTTTGAGATCCTGGAGGGGCATCTTAGTCTCAAGGGTAAGGGCAGTAAGTCAGGGGAATGGGTTCTTTCCACAGGAACTTAGACAGTCAGCCGAGGACAGGAAGGGAGGGTCCTCCTGAGTCGGGACGTGTGACCAGAGCTTTAAAGTACAAGAGCTTCCCAGAAATGGCCTGAAGTTGGGGTGCATGTCAAGGGCAGGGGTTTGGGTCGGGGGCCCTGGAGGAAGGCTTGGTTTCCTTCAAACAGCTATTTTCAGCTCCACTGTTTGTTTTAAACGTAGTTTTTATGGTTCTTTCTCTGATCAGGACCCGCTTCCATAGCATACTAATTGGAATTCTATCAGTCTTGCCCCTGTGTTAAATGCTTCCATTCCTTGTTTCTCTGCTAAGTTCCATTAGCTTACTGGATTCAAGATTGCGTGTATGAAATGAAATGCATTAAAGAGAATTATGGCCAGTTGATTGGGTGCCTCTTTCTTAGTTCCTCTTTTTACAGTTGAGAGTTCATCTTGCTATGTTTCTAAAAGCACGTTTTATAAAGTACTGTATTCACAGAGGAGAATTTGGGGAATTGATGTACAAATTGCTTGCATGATAAAAAGATAATTCTAAACTTAATAAAATAGAAGTTGTAGCTGGACTGGGCATGGTGGTGAACCTGTTTAATCCCAACACTTGAGAGGTAGAGGCGGGCAGATCTCTGTGAGTTCGTGACCAGCCTGGTCTACAGTAAGGGTTCGAGGACAGCCAGGACTATTTCACGAGAAACCCTGTCTTGAAAAACAAAAAACAAAACAACAACAATAACAACAAAGTGGCAGTTGTTTTCTGAGTTTCATATTTAAAAAACAAGGGAACTTTTAAATGTATGTCATCTAATCTACAGGGCAGGGAACCCTGATTGCTCTTTGGGCTGAGGAGGGAGGAGGACTTGATTGGGGGAGGGGGAGGGAAAGGGGAGGCGGTGGTGGGGAAGAGACAGAAATCTTTAAATAATAAATAAATAAATAAATAAATAAATAAAATAAAATAAATAAAAGAAAGAAATATTTCCAAGAACATTGAAACACTAACTAAGATCCAGAAAATTTTGTTTTAAAATATCTAAGTAAGATTTTAAAAATATAAAAAAAATGTTAATATTAGATACAAAATTAATCAACATAGGGTAAAAAAGTCATCATTATTCCTTTTAGTTTGTGGTCTAAAATGTTCATGCTATCCATTGCAAATCTTTTCCCATGTTGTCAAGGTCTCATAACTCTGTTTTATCATTGCTATTTGGTAACACATATGCATATATCAGAATTCTTAAAAATCGTTTAGAATTCTCAATTAACTGTAGTCCTTATGTTGAGGATGGACATGCATGAAGAAAAAGGGAAACATTTATAAACTATGATCTTGATTTGCACTGTCTAGGCAGGTGTTAAAGGTTGTAAGTAATTCTCGTGGACTCAGTGACTTAATGGTGATGCAGAAACAGCAGTTTCTTTATTACAAGGCTCACTGTTGCAGGCTGTAAGATGCACAGGGCGGGGAATGTGACATTGCCCTGGCTTGGATCTTTCCTCTTTTGTCATTTGCACATTTGTCATAATAGCACATGATAACAGTGGCTAAAATGTATCACAACAGGTACTCTCTAAAACAACTTTATAGGTTTTACTCTTTTTTATGGCCCTAAGCTATTGCCAGATGAAGATGCTGAGCATGAGAGAGGTTCAAGGTGTAGTCCAGAAATGTCACAATGAAGCCCATTATTATGTACAATTAATATATGCTAAAGAGATATTTTTAGAAGGAACCATGTACTCAAGGACACGCAGCCAGTAAGTGTGGCCTTGAGCTTTGAGCACAGGGACTGAACTCACTGGGTCCTCAATCACTGTCTTCCTCAGGTTTTCTGCAGCCAAGGGTGGCTCTTTGTTGCTCTTTCGATGACTGTTTGCAGATACTGTCAATTGGGCACACCCTCCCCAGACCCTCACTGCACACCCACATTTGCTCAGCCGAGTTTAGCTGCCCACGCCTGCATCTCTCTGTCCACACCCCAGCCTCAGAGAGGACTGCCCTGGCTCTCGTCCCAGGTGGGATGAGCAGGAATTGACCTCTTATCAGGAGCTCCTTTACCTGTCCATAGAGATGACTGACTTGGTTTCCTTTCTCCCCGGGCTCCGCTCTTGCCTTTACTCTCTGGTCTTCTACCTTCCCAGCTGCTGGTCTTTCCCATTTTCGTGGTACTCGGTAGTGTGGTGTTCCGTAACTCAGCTGGGTGACACTACACGGTGCTTCGTTGTGAGAAGTCAAACAATGTGTTCGCCCCATCTCAGGCCAGTGGGTTTTCACAAGATTGTTTATCCTGCTACGACAAATGATATTGTTCTGTGCATTATTGCTAGCAGCTCCTTCATTAGGACCCAGTTTAAACCTTTGCGTCATCTTGCCTGTCTGACTGGGACTGGCTCAGGCCGGCACCGCTATCTAAACAGGATCCAAGTTTGGTAATGGTTAGGTCTCAGTTATCACTTATGTTCACTGGGGTGTTCTCCTGAGTGCAGGGGATCATGGTAAAGTATTCTGGCATTCATGAATATGTGGTGTTCTGGTGGGAAAGCCAGGCTATTGCCCTGGTTTTAGGGGTATCGCCAGCAGTGCAACACAGTGCATGGGTTCCTGCAGGTCCATGAAATGAAGACTCAGAGACACTTAGAGAACAAACTTAGCCTAAGCAGCCACAGGGGTCCTCAACCTGGCTGAGCTGAAACACTTGCCCTTAACCTTCAGCATTTTTATGTTTCCCTGTTTACACTTTAGCCAGTAGATTTCCATACCTCAAAACAGCCTGAATGAAGCCTCCAAAAATACAATGCCAAATGCAAATACCTGATTCATGAGGTACCACGGGTTTTCCGGGTTGCCTTTAACCAGTTTTGCATAGGCTTTGTATCCCTAAGAAACTCTCAGACAAGGGCAACAAAAGGTGTCTGTAACACAAAGGATGGATTAGGGTTGTTTGCTAACTCTGGAGCAAGGCCGAGTATAGCTCAGAGAGGGTTACGGCTAGCTGTGGTGGTGGCCGAGGGTGCTTGCTATCACTAGCACCAGGTTGGCAGGAATTTCCGCCACATTGGGGAACATCTGGCGATCTGAACCCTTCCAATTGCCAGCACACAGTACTTCCTTCATGTAATCGCACAGGAGTAGGCACCCAAAACACATGGAGCTGACACCTGGGTATCTCAGAGTTTTAAACAGAGAGCGCTCTGCAAGAAATACTTTTTCCAAGAACCCTGTTATGAGTGTTATTGAGACAAAGGGTTATAAACTACCTTGTTCTTAATGGGTTTTAGAAAATTTGAAGAATCACAAAAGCTCACAGCCCAACTTTAAATGAGTCTGACGAGTGTTTTCAAACTCTAAGGAGATGTAAAACATGCTAAGATATGGTGGGGAGCAGCTTTGCCACCACAGTGTGTGATAAACCCCCGTGTGTTGGTGACAGCCTTATGACTCAGCAGTCAATGCAAACTTCTCTCCATCGACTGTCAGAATTGCAGCCCAAGACAGCAAAGCAAGTTACTAAATGCAACAAGAGTCGAATACACTTTCTACCCACATCCAGTTCAGAATGTTGAGACACTGCCATTTGAACAAGCAGATTCTCTCTTTCTCTATTTCTGAGTCCATTAAAATAGCCTCTTTGTGTTCATAGGTTAATTATTGTAAAATAAAATAAGCAAACTTGAATTTCTGCATTTTGAAAGTATGTTTTTTAAAGCTTGTTTTTATTTATTATGTATACAGTGTTCTGCCTGCATATATGCCTGCACACCAGAAGAGGGCGCCACCATGTGGTTGCAGGGCATTGAATTCAGGACTGCTGGAAGATCAGCCAGTGCTTTTCATCTTTGTGCCATCTCTCCAGCCCCCCAAAATTATGTTTTGATAGAATTATTTTGTCAAAATCAAAAACTGTACATGGCCTTAGGTAGAGGGCAGTTAAAGTGAATGTGTGATCAGGCCAGGATTGTCAGACTTGTGGTCATCATCACCAGCAGTCCATCTGTCCCTTTAGAGTGTGGGAATGGACAGAAGTAACCCACAAAACAATTCCATCCTTATTATTTCTCTTATAAAACATTGATTTAAAATTTACTTATATGTGTAGCTGTGTGTATGTGCACATGAGTACAAATGGCTCTAAAGGTCAAAGAGGGTCCTGGATCCCCTGGAGCTGAAGTTTCAGGCAGTTGTGACCCACATGCTTTGCAGGGAGTGGACTGCACGGATTGCACAGAAAGCATTTGTCCAGACAGTGACTGAGAAACGAGCTAAAAGCAGCTACGGAGCTGGGCAGTGGTGGTGCACACCTTTAATCCAAGCACTCAGGAGGCAGAGGCAGGTGGACCTCTGAGTTCGAGGCCAGCCTGGTCTACAGAGAGAGTTCCGGGACAGCCAGGACTACACAGAGAAACCCTGTCTTGCTTGTGGGAGAGGGAAGCAGCTATAGGAAAGAAGATCATTATCCCTTTGAATTATATGAATAATCAGATATTTTCTCCTTCACTCATGGCTGTGTTCTTTATGTGGTAGCAGTAAGAGTCTTATGTTTTTACTTCTATGCTTCATGAGACATCCCAAGACTGACAAGTGCAATTGGCAGTGGAAAAATAATAGCAGATCTTTAATCCACTTACATCTGCGAACATGCATATGTCCCCTTGTACACACACACACACACACATACACAGATGCACATATGCATGCACATGCATACATATATGCGCACATGTATATACGCACACAATAATGCAAATTTATCACAGGGCTTAAAATCCACTTGGAAAGGCAATGCCATAGTTTCTACTTAAATTAACATTCATTTGTGTTTCTATTAAAATTTGCTCAGCTCTAGCGTTCTGATTTTCCTATACTCACAGGGAAGCGCCTGCATGAGCAAACACAATGGCTTCCTTTGCTCTCCTTTCAATTTCAGGGTCAACCAGGACCACTGGGGCCACAGGGACCAATAGGGCCCTTGGGACCCCCGGGACCCATTGGGATTCCAGGAGAGAAAGGACTGAGAGGTGTCAGTGGCTTGCCTGGAGCAGCAGGAGAGAAAGGAGACAAGGTGAGTCAGTTAGCATCTCATCAGTCCCCAAAGCTCAGGGTCTGTTTACTTAAAATTCTGAGCACAATCTTATTAGTACTTAAAAGAAAACTTCCCGGGATAGGCAAACTTCAAATCTCAGCAGCTTTTAAAAGGAGAATAGACCAGAGAAAGGAAAATACCCATGCAGTCTAAGCAGGCATAAAGGCATAGAGGCCTGGAACATGGAGGTGAGACACATGACTGACAAGCAGCCACACGACAGGTAGGAGAACTTCAGAAAAAAAAAAGAGTAAGAAAGTCTAAAACATTGGGGAAGCCCAGAGTGTTAGGATAAGCCTGGATAGAGAAGAGAAATCCAGACATCTGAATTCATGCTCTTCTGAATAATTTAAGACAGTGGGCAGCTTTGAGAACCTGCATACCCATAGCCTGCTGCACCGTGGATGGGGATTCAGGAAGGAAAGGTATATTATCTCATTAAAGGACAAATTATTCCACCCACCTCTTTATAACGCTTAGGCTCAGGAATACCACATGACTGGTCAAAAACTAAGACTACCACAGGACTCCGTGGGTAACCAGTCTTTTTCTCAGCCCCTCTCCCAAGGGGCAAGCCCTTCTGGAACATATCTCTGATCTGTAACTGTGAACACAGAGGACTGGCATTGTTCATCTGCTTTCCAAACTTCCCAAACAAAGTATTATGTGTGCCGAGCTGAACCTTTAATTTCTCAGTCAACAGTATGTCTTAGAGATCATCCTATGTTGATTTCTCAATCCACATCTATTTCTTGAAAAGTACCAAAGAATATACCATCCTATATGTAAAACCATAGCTTATTTCGTGTTGATGAAAATGTGAAATGCTTTTGCAGCTCAGTGTAGTGCCAGGGAAGGGACACAACCCCATCAATTGCTGTCACTCACATCAAGAGTCTGTTGTCCTGGGAAGGATTCTGAGGGCTAGAGCTCATGACAGTATGCTGAATATTCAGTTTGGGTTGGTTCTGCCAAGTTGCCTTCCCAGGTCTGTATAACCAAGTGTGAAAGGATTCTTCTTAAACATTGAGGCCTGGATCAATCTGCCTAAAATCAAGTGACAATGACTGCTAGGGGGTTTTGATTTGGGTCATCAACTGTTCATAGTTTCAAATAACCATACTTGCCAATCTAGTAGTCTATTAATTTTTACATCTCTGTTTCATATTTTGAAATAGGGTCCAACTGGTGTCCCTGGATTTCCAGGTTTGGATGGCGTACCAGTGAGTGTCTCCACATTTTTCTCATTGTTTTAAGAAAGGAATAAAAGCAGTCACTAGTAGCTTCAAAGTGAAGCAGAGTGAGGTGTCAGTGCTTGGGAGGCTGAGGCAGGAGGATTACGAGCTTGAGACAATTCTGGTTTACATAATAAGAATATATCTTAGAGGGGACAAAGGGGAAGGGGGGAAATGACAAAATCCCTGAAAAATATATTTTCAAAATGGATGTGCACTTAGTTCTTGAACGACTACTTACTCTTCAATTGTGCAATAATTCTCAAACTAAAACATTTTATGTAAAGAGCAAAGTCTTCAAAGACACTTTTTAAAAAAGTCCAGAACAGATGCTAGATATCATGTCCTGCTCAGTGCTCTGGAATGAAATGTGTGCCCATAACAGGAACCTCATCTTCTGGTGGGTCCCAGCTTTGCAAGTGACGCTGAGAGTCATACAATACAGCCTGGGAGAAGAAGGAAGTGGGGCTTGGGGAACTTCACAATGCAGCCAAGTCTCGGGATTTCAAGGAAGGTTTTCTCCTAAGCTGGAGAGCAACTCAAGCTAAATGAACTTACCATAGATGTAGTACATTTCTAAATTGTGATTTCACCATCTGGCTCTTTCAGGAAGCCTCACAAAGAGAAACAAGTAAACAAGTGTGCCCTAAGTTCTGTAGTTTGGGGTCCGTGTTGCATCGCCTTTGTGTTAGGTTTTCTTGCAGAAATATTCCGCTCACAGTTTTGTCCTCTGTAGGGTCACCCAGGACCTCCCGGACCCAGAGGCAAACCTGGCATGGATGGTTTCAGTGGCTCAAGAGGTGATCCAGGATTTCCAGGAGAAAGAGGAGCGCCTGGCCCAGGAGGGCCCCCTGTAAGACACCATTAGCACAATCTAGAGTGATCTAAGTGAAAAGACTATCCTGGCCACGGCTTGGTGTGTTTGGGAAGTGGGGTCAATGCAGCTTTGCCTGCAGCATGGTGAACTAAACTGGGTGACTGCAGGGGTGGGGGTGGCAAGGTGGGCAGAACCAGAATACGTCGGGGCGTCATAGGCTGTGGAAGTAAATTATATTTTCTTTTCCATGCTATAAGAAGTCCCCAGTGGCTTTGAGAAGGGTTGTGATCTATCTGGTTTCATTAAGATCTTTCTAGTTCCTGTACAAAGACTGGATAGTTTAAAAAGGATGGGGCAGTTTACCAAAACTTCCACTCCCACCATTTAGGGTAAATTTGTCATTAAATACAGCTTCAGCAAGGGACACTCTTGTGTTCTCACCACGCACCTCCCTGCCTCTCACTTAGGTAAAAATCTGACATAATTTGGGCTGCGATAAAATGCATTATATGAAATTCTCGAAGAATGATTAAAAATTGAGAAAAATATTTAATAAATAAATATATGCCTTCCCTTAAGAAAATGTTGACTTCCTCTGTATGGCGGTTTTTCAGCCTTTTTGCTTTGCCATTTAAATAGCTCTTCTCAAATCCTCCCAGAAGGCTTCTTATTGGCACTGCCAGAGCCATCCCTTTCCCCGTCGTTCATCTCGCCTGCGCTCTAGATTGAAGAGCTGGTCTGAACATAGAGCTCGGAAGGAATTCCAGGCTGGCCCCTTTCTTGATATCACATCAAAATCATTTTGGGTGCTAAGATTCTCAGTCAAGCGCTCTGTTCTAGTCTCAGCCTTTTGACAGTCCAGCGCAGCAGCGAGATGAACGCACACATCCCCAGCTCTCCCAACGGGACCAGACCTCATTCTACTGAACCGGGTGTTTCAGAGAGCAGGGGCTCTTCAGTGGTAGCTTTTCCATAGCAAGCAGTACTGACCACAGTGTTGGAATGTCACAACAGTCCCTTTGTCAAGCAGTGTTTGTTTCTTCTGACCACCCTGCCTGTAGAGTGGAACTTTCCATGAATGCTAAAGCTACGCAAAGCAACCTCAGCCATGGATGGGAACGTTATTGTTGTCTCATAATCTTTTAAGTGTTTCAGTAAATGGTTAAAAATTCTCTCACTGTCACTCATAAATACATGGAGAAATGAAAAATAGAACTAATATTTATGCAGCACTTGGTAATTTTAAACATGGAGAATCCAAGTATTGAGTTGGTCTGTGAAAAGCTCTCAACAGTGCTTTCCTTTTTCATGCCGTGTAACAAAGTGTACCAAATTAACCTTTTCTTATGCTGTGACAAAATGTCACACTCTTTCTAAGTTTTGGTCAGTGCTCATCATTGAGAAATATCTTCCCAAGTTTCTTCAGTGTGAAGCTATTGCTTGAGTCACTGTCTTTCCCTCACAGTCACTGTGGTCTCTGGGGAAGAGCCCATCAGTTGTACTCTGGCAGCCATGTTTTCTCCAACTCCCCTTACACTCTGAGTTTCTTTTGCAACATTTTAAATGCTTCTTTTGTGTCTGTTTCCCTTTCATCTTTGAAGACTTATCCCCTGTCTCAAATAGCTATTTTGTAAAATGTCACTTGAGTTTTTATCTGAGGTCTAAGAAAGCAACATATATATCTATGTGTTGTGCTGGACTGTTCTCTCTCTCTCTCTCTCTCTCTCTCTCTCTCTCTCTCTCTCTCTCTCTCTCTCTCCATGTCTGAATAAAAGATGTGTAGTCACACTCCTGTAGGCAGACTCTGAACCATGTTCTTGTAGACAAATTAAGTGAAACTTACAAGGTCACCGCAATGACAAAAAGGCAGAAGAGACATAGCTGGGAAGAGGGAGATGAACAGATGTGAGAGGGGACAAGAGAGAGTGACAGGGCGCCTATGAATGAGATATACATTATGAACATGTATGAAAATGTCATGATGAAACCCCTTATTATAAATAATTAGGATATGCTAATAATACATTAAAATAAAAAAGGAGTGAGGAGTGGACAAAGACGTGCAGTGATCAATCATGGTAGGCTTATGTGATCAATCACGAGCTTTGAAACACATGACGTCATCAGTCACTAATCATGACTGGTCCGTTATTTCTGCAGTGGTTTGTGGACCGAGGAGCTAGCAGTGAAGCGAAGTTTTTAATTTGGGATCAAACCCAGAACCTAGGGCTGGCTGGACAAATGTTCTGCCTCCAAGTTTCAACGCCAACCTGTGTGCTCTTCAGTTGATTTTCATCACCGTAACAGTCTTAACTCAGTGTGGAACTGAGATCCCTGCAGACTGGAACTGTAGGAAGCCACAGTGACTGACTGCAGAGGCCAAATTGACTTCCTCAAGGGGCCTTACCAGGAAGTCACCGAGTGAAACAAAGGGAGCTGCTTTGGCGAGTGGGATCAACTTGGAGAGTTATACTCTTTTACAGAGAGCTTGGTAATATGAAGAAGGCAAATGCTCTGTGTGACAAGTCAATGTGTAGAAGATGTTAACGGGGATTTTAAGTTGTTATATAGGAAAATTAGAATGAACTTCTTTGAGCTATTTCACAAAGTCTGTTAACTTGAAATACAGCCTTACAAAGGTTGTATAAGATCAAGTTTAAATACAAATACTGAAAGGAGTCAAGTAAATGCTCTTAAAAATTATTTCTGGGGGCTGGAGAGATGGCTCAGTGGTTAAGAGAAGTGCCTGCTCTTCCAAAGGTCCTGAGTTCAATTCCCGGCAACCACATGGTGGCTCACAACCATCTGTAATGAGGTCTGGTGCCCTCTTCTGGTCTGCAGGCATACACACAGACAGAACATTGTATACATAATAAATAAATTAATAAAAAAATTATTTCTGGATCAAAAATTAAATTGCAAAATTATTTATTTTTAAGAATACCTTCTTGCATTATATTATGAGAAGAATGCAGTCTTTCTGCCTCATGATTAGCAACTAAAGCTATCCATTAGTGGGGCATCTTCCTTTGGGATTGCCTTCGCAGACGCTAACTGAAGGCCTGAGAGACCTGTGTGCAAGCCAGTAAGATCAGGTAGACGATAAATCCACCCCAGGCAGATGGTTGCAATGCTTTTTTAAATTGGTGGCTAGTATTTTATATAGAAAACAGTGGAACAGCAATTTATTTTTTCCTAACGAATCTTTCCTTTCCAGGGTCAGCCAGGAGAAAATGGAGAAAAAGGAAGATCGGTGTTCATTTCCGGTGGCATTAAAGGTATTCAGGTGAGTGTTATATCTGTCATTATGGGTTTGTCAAAGTCTTTTTCCCAACTGGAAATGCATGGGCAGAGATTTCTTTCAAAGTTTTATTGGATTTACTGGGTTTGTTTGTTTGTTTTGTTTGTTTGTTTTGGTCATTAACCTGACAGAACAAGATGGCTGAGTTCCTCTTGTGTGAAAGTATTGACCGTCATCTCTTTGACTGTAGATTTCCTTGCCACTTACACATTCAGAATTATAAGGACATATTTATTTCGGGGCTACCCAGGCTCATCGCTACTGTTATTTGGGCCAGGTAGTCACTGGTGAGGACTGACCTGAGAATTGCAGGTCACTGAGAATTTTAAGGTGGCCTTGACTGAACAGGAATTGTGAAACTAACACCTCAGATGTAATTGGACCTAAACGTGGGTAAAATCTGAAACCGTCCTTTAAGCATAGTGAGTTTAGAATGATCCTGTGTCCAGGAGCATGCACACACTGATCATTACACAGAGCAATCAACCTTGCCACAAGCTTGAGAGTTAGATCTGGATGTTGCAGCATGAGGGGCTCTCCCTCAGTCTCTTCCTGCCACTCCAGATGGGTGGTTCCCAACCTTCCTAAAGCCGCAACCCTTTAATACAGTTCCTCATGTTATGGTGACCCTCAACCATTAAATTATTCTCATTGCTGCTTCATAACTGCAATTTTGCTGTTATGAACAGTAATGTAAATACCTGATATGTAGACCCCAGAGGGGTCATGACCTATAGGTTGAAAACCACTACTGTACAGCAAGGCCCCATATAGCCACTAGACCAGAGATAGGTATATTGTGAGAACATAGAACTTTTAGACCAAGATGGTAGTGTAAGATGGACAGAAGGACAACCCACATCCTTCTTCTCTGTTGTCTTGACTGTAAGCATTGCAGCTCAGATGGGAAGGTATTCTGACAGTCAGGAACTAAGGTATGCCACAAAGTCAATGTAAGCTAGGAGCGTACAGCTCTGCTCCAGGGAAAAGTTTCCCCAGTGCAAGGGTAACAGCTAGGGGAAAGGGTTACAGTTCTCCATTCTGCTCTGCTCTGGCTTCTACAAAAGTTGTTATGGCTGGGCTCTGCTCCTGAGAAAATGTTGCACCACACAACAAACCTCACTAGAGAGATTTATTGGGAAGGAAAACTCCAGGAGGGTGGCTGCCTCTGGGGTGAGGAGCAGCAGCAAACTGAACAGGGTACAAAGTTTAGAGTTTCTTGGGGGGCTGGGCAGGACGTTCTTTCTTTGAATTAGTGGGTTTTTATAGCCTGATTCTGGGAAAGGCTCGGGGTTGGTGGGATTTCATGCTCAGGGATTGGTGGGATTTTGCAGTCTGACTCTGGGGTAAGCTCAGAATTGGTGGGATTTAAAACCCTGGTCCTGGGATTAAGTCAGGGTCAGGGTGTTTTTCCTTGGTCCTTTTTACCCTACACTGACTCAACCCACCTTGTTCTGGCCTCCAGTAGGTAGACAGGGAAATAAATGAAGGAAAACAGCTCTATGGAGCCCTTCTGTGATTGTTTTCTCAACACTAACAAAGTGAATTTGCTGCCTATCTTGCTTAGTGCAGATCATTCTTGCTCTACCTGTTTTTCCGGGTCATCTGTGTCCTTAGAAAACAGCCCTCCTCTTGTAAAACAGTATAATGTTGTCATTGCAGGGAGACCGTGGGGACCCAGGACCGCCCGGCTTGCCAGTAAGTCTCCCGAGAAGACCATGGGCACCTGTCTTCTTTTTAGATAGCTCTGTAGATGTTCAGCTCAACTTCACCAGCCACAAAAAGTGTGGGACCTACCTAGAATAAAACTGTGATCTCTTGTCAAAATTAAAATTTTTATAGTACTGACATGGTGGTGTTAAGTCCAGTTTACCCACCAGGAAGCACTGCTAAACCTCAGAGAGCTGCCTTTTATCCCAACTCCCCGTTGTCCGGTCATGATCATTTGGTACTATTAGGCATTTATTGGCCTTCACAAAATTATCTTTTAGAAACACACACACACACACACACACACACACACACACACACACAGCCTCCTACATAAATACAGCGATTGGAATTTTATTCCACTTCTCTAAGATTTTTGCCTGCTAAATTAGTGACTGTTTATTGCTATATTGCCCACTTTCATCTCCCGTAGTTTGTAACTCAATGATCACTTTAGCCTTTCAGTTTATCAGTGTTTGCAAGATTGAAACCGAAAGCAGTTTTACCTCCCAGCGATTATCCACAGACTTGCATTTCCAGGCCCGGTCCATAACCGATGTGAACTGTAGAACAGGGCACTGCTCTTCCCAGCCTTCTGGGGCTGCTCGGCTATCCCGCCATCTGCCAGAGTGTAAGCCATGGTGCCGGCAACTCACATGAGACAGGAAATTGCTAATGTCTGAGCCATCTTGATCCTGAGCTGGGGACAGTGTTTCTATTCACTTTAGTCCTCTAGGCCACATTTCAAGAGTATTTTTTTTAAAGTACAAATATATTACATAGCTCTAATCTACATGGGAAGTAGAAAAAGACAAGATCTCCTGAGTAAATTGGGAGCATGAGAACCTTCGGGGGAGGGTTGAAGGGGAGGGGAGAGGAAGGGAGGGGAGCAGAGAAAAATGTAGAGTTCAATAAAAATCAATTTAAAAAAGTACAAATACATTGATATTTAAATATGGGGCAAGAGAGATGGCTCAGTGGTTATAGAGCACTGGATGCTATTGCAGAGGACCTGATCTCAGTTCCTAGCACCCACCTGGAATCTCATGACTGTCTCTAATCCTAGGTCTAGGGCAATGGTTCTCAACCTGTGGGTCTTGACCCATTTGGAGGTAGCATTTTAGATATCCTGCATATCAGATACTTACATCATGATCCACAACAGTAGCAAAATTACAATTATGAAGTAGCAATGAAAATAATTTTATGGATGGGGGTCATTACAACATGAGGAACTATATTAAAGGATCACAGCATTAGGAAGGTTGAGAACCACGGCTCTAGGGGATCCCTATTCTGGCCTCTGCAGGCCCAAGGGACATAGGTAGATATTCCTGGGCATAAACTAAAAAAGACTTTAAATATGAATGTTACCCAAGACTGATATGAAGAGACATCTTGAGATGTATAAAGATGTTGAATTGGAATTAGGAAGAACTAATGAAGTTCTTTTGTTTCTGGCTTTAATTATTACGAGTTTTGGGCTGTACGATGCTGATTGTTCTCTTGAGCTGAATGGAACCCTACACAGGAGAGTGTGTCACCCTTACTGGAAGGCTGCTCCCACCTCTGCTGAAGATGCACTCACTGAGTGTATGCGGGGAGACTGACTGCTTTGCAGGCTTATATCTGCTTGAGGTTACATGCCATCCTGTCTGTGAGAGATAATTGTTGTTTGCACAGTGCACGTTCTGATCTCTGTCTCTCTCTCTAGGGATTTAGGGGTGCCCAAGGATCAGCAGGGCCCATGGGGTATGCTGGCGCACCAGGGCCTGCAGTAAGTACAGCTCTGACGATGTTGTCCCTCTGTAGACAACACTGTCACACTGAGAACAAAGCTGCATTCTTGAGTCAGGCTAATGAACCACACTTATTGGCAGGAATTCATCTTGGTGTGTAGGTCTCCCATCAGAAGTCACCCCCTTCACAGAAAAAGAGCCCATCCATGTTTAAAAGTCCACTGTGTGCACCTTCCTTCCTTCCTTCCTTCCTTTCTTTCTTTCTTTCTTTCTTTCTTTTTCTTTGTTCCTTCCTTCCTTTCCATCCCTCCCTCCACCTTTCTTTTTTCCTTCCTTCCTTCCTTCCTTCCTTCCTTCCTCCCTCCCTCCCTCCCTCCCTCCCTCCCTCCCTCCCTTCCTTCCTTTCTTCTTTCAAGACTGGGTTTCCTGGAACCCATTTTGTAGAGCAGGCTGGCCTCAAACTCAGAGATCTGCCTGCCTCTACTTCTGGAGAGCTTGGGCTAAAAGGCATGCGCCTTCACACCAGGCTTGTTATTTTTAAATGACACATAATTATGTACACAGAGCTAGAATGATTGTTTTCCGCATGAGCCTGAGGACTTGAGTCCTACCCCCAGAACTCACATAAAGAATCAAGCTTGCTTCTTGGCTCTTGTCATAAAGGTGGCACACGCTTCTGTCCCGTGCTGAGGGACAGATACAGGTAGAACTCTGAGGCTACTTGACTAGCTGGCCCAGCCTAATTAATGAACCCCAGATTTCAGTGGGAGACACTGTCTCTAAAAATAAGAAAGGACATCTGAGATGGATCATGGTCTCCACATACACTACACACACATGCACCTACATATGTATGAGCACTTACATGCACACACACACACACATGCAGCTGTATGTATTCATGAGGTGCGCTGTGATATTTGGATGCATTCATCTAATGTGCAGTGATAAAATCAGGATAGTTAGCACATCTATCACCTGTAACATCCATCCTTTCTTTGTATCAGAAGTATTTAAAATCTTCAGTAGTCATTTTGCAATGTGTGGTAAACGATTGTTGACTGTCACTTCACTGTGGTGTAGAGCCAGAACTCAATCCTTTCAACTAACCAAATCTTCATTCTCATCGGCTAGTTCTTCTTCATGGCCTTCTTCCTATCCAGCCTCCCCAGACTCTGGCAACCACTATTTTTCTCCTTACTTCCAGGAGGTCACATTATTATCGGCCTCCTAAGAATGAGAGTGGCTTGAGCAACTTTAAAATCAGATGTGTTTTCTAGTCAAAACTTGGGGTGATCAAGGAAGACATTCTGATGACTATGACTGCTAATAATTTTTTTCCCATTGATTTAGGGGCCTATAGGTCATCCTGGGAGCCCTGGGTTGAAGGTAAGTGCTAGATCAAATCCATCATCAGAACCTGGCCTCAGGGAGATGATTGGACATTGACACTCATCTCAATCCCCTCCTTCCCTTTTGAATAAGCCTTAATGATCTGCACAGCTAAAAGTCTTCGTCGCTTTTAATTGTCTTCTTAAAACTAGAAAGCCATTAGATTTCTTTCTTTTTTCTTTCAGGGAAATCGTGCTGTGGGAATAAAGGGGCAAAGGGGAGACCCGGTAAGGATCCCTCGTGTGGAGGAGCAAATGTTGAGATGCCTTCTCTAGTAATAGAGGCTGTTGTCACCATCTGTGCTCAGTGTCCTCGTCGTTCAACTTCATAGCTCCTCCATGCTGACTTAGTTTACCCTTAGCTGTAAACATAATACCCTGAGGTCCGACAAAGCATCATTCTGGTGCTAGGAAGCAACTTCATGGGCAGGGTACTCTAGGAAAGCGATTTAAGGTGGTGGTTTCTCTGGGCTTACCCTGAATGCCCAGCGGGGGATGGGCGCTCTTCTTCACACAGGAGAAGCAGCTCCTAGGCATCTTCTCCACAGCAGGGAGGTTAGGAGGGTAAGGTTGTCATAGCAGGACCGGCCTGTTCCCTGTTGACATGGATGGAGTTCCAGGTTAGTTAAGTCGCAATACAGGTGGTTAAAAAGAGTCAGATATATATATATATATATATATATATATGAAGTTCTCATGATGAAAGAAATGCCCATAATATTCTATTGACCATAAAGGTGAGGTCGTAGAACTGGGAAGTCAAGTATGCGGTGGTAACAATGTTGGGCATATGGTGATGCATGCCTTCAATCCCAGCCCATGGGAAGGTGAACCTTCTCTCTCTCTCTCTCTCTCTCTCTCTCTCTCTCTCTCTCTCTCTCTCACACACACACACACACACACACACACACATCCCTCTCTGGGAAAAGTTGGGCAAGAGGTACATACATGTAATCACAGCATAGGAGGAATAAAATTCAGGATCAGTTTTTGGCTGCATGGCAAGTTTGAGGTCAATTGGGCTACATGAAACATAAAAATTAAAAATAAAACAATAAAAACTGAATCCCCACCCTTCATGTTTGTTACTAAGTATTGCTGAGTCATGTGATTGTGGATCTTTTTGTGTTTTATTCGTCAGACTTTTCTGTCTACATTTGATTATGCTAGCTATTTGATATTTTTTATGATGAAAAAATATTAGCATGGTGCTTGAAGGTACTCTGTGTAGGTCTTTTTTTTCTTTTTTGGTTGTGCATAGGTCTGTATAGGTTGTGTTTGGACAATGAGGATGAGAGCGGTTATCATTATCAGTACATATTGCTCACGCATGTGCTGTCCAGGCGTTTGTCCAGGCCTCTATTTACAGAATGCATGTAGCAGTCAACACATCATTACTGTTAGCTAACAGGATATAAGAAAGAAAGAAAAAATACCTTATAATTATCTCTAACTTCTGAGGTCTTGGTATTTCAACACCATTAGCTAACAGGATATAAAAAAAAAAAAAAAAACCTTACACTATCCCTAGCCTGCAAGCTCTTTGGTAGCCTCCCAGGTCTGCGAAGAGACTGGATCCCTTTAGTTACACTATTTTCAGTGAACTTGAAGTGGTATCCTTCATGAAGAAATCCTGCCTATCAGAAACATGGGCACGCTATGCAGTCCGTGCTAGCCCCAAATTTGTGATCCTCCTATTTCAGTCTCTTATCTACTGAGATTTTTGTTATTATGAGATACATAGTATTTAGTTTGATTATAGTTTTAGGGCTGCATTTAACAAGACACTGTTCACATGCACATGAACAGACATGTGTGTATATATATATATATATATATATATATATATATATATATGTGTGTGCACCCATTGTGTGCGCACCATACATAAACACTACAAAGCACTGCACCAAACATCTTCAGTAGATTTTCCCTAGACAGTAACATTATAGATAATTTTTATTTTTATTTTTAGAATTTGTTTTAAGCCATATTTTCATATGAAACAATAAATATTTTTTTACAGCCCAATACATCTTTTTTATTTTAAATCTAAGGCTCACAGGATTGGAAAACTTATATTATTCCTGGGTGAAAGTTTTTTTTGCTTCAAAACATAAGGTAGTTAAAATGAAATTCCTATTTTCTCAATGTTTTTAAAGGGTGAAGTTGGCCAGCATGGTCCTCCTGGGCCTACCCTGTTTGTACAGCCACCTGATGTGAACCTCTATAAAGGAGAAAAGGTAAGCCCCACTTACCTCCTAGGTCACCTTGTGAAGCATGAATGGGAATTCTTTTGGGCACAGGCCCAGGGCTGGGCTACCGGGCCCCATCAAATGAATCTCAAAGCTGCCCCACTTGGCCGGCGCGCTCATCAGTCGGGTTAGTCTGGGTTGAGCACTGAGGCTCAGAGCCTTCCTATGTTCTCAGGTCCACTCAGCCACTGATCCACAGACTGGGCATGGGCTGAGCTAAGTACTCCAGATTGCACTACCCCTGAGTGCTGTTCTGAAGTGCAGACAGCAAAGGTCATGGGGGATCTAGTTGACTTTCCAGGTTTGGTGATGGGCTTCGTGGTTTGGTAGCCGAAAAGCTAACACATGCATAGGGCTGAATACGTGGTAGACTTTGGGAAAACATAAATTCATCTGTCCATGGGTAATTGATCGATCTGTCCAACACAGGTATTCCCAATGCCAGATGTATGGTCTGTAATTGTTTTTAAATTATACCTAAAGTCTCCTACCTTACCCAAACAAGCCAGCACTCCCTATAACTATATCCCCAAGCTTGGACCTGCAGGCTGAGTCCATATCTCCTCCACGTCCTCTGTGCTTCTCACACTCGTCCAAATAAAACCAGGGATAAAAATGTACTTAGGTCTGAGTTGCTAATTTGGTTTCTTACTTAAAAAAAAAAAAAGCCTAATGAGAAACAGGTCGTCAAAAAAATGATTTATGAAGTGTATGGAATTCAGCGAATACTATGTAATCTTAATATATCCGTCATACTTTTTAGGGTATAAAAGGAATTCCCGGAATGATTGGACTTCCAGGACCTCCAGGACGCAAGGTGATTTAAATTCCTTTCATTTATTTCTGTGAGATAATATTCTCAGCTGGTTTTTTGGTGCAGTTTTCTCATTATTTTAACTGCCAGCCTTTACTATTGGAAATTTTCATTGCCTTACTATAATCTTATAAACCCCCACCGTAAAGGAGCTACTCTCTTTAAGGTGTTACCAATGTTTTTGTTTTCCATTTTGTTGTTGCTTTAAAAATTAAGGAAGTACTGTTGACTGGAGCCTTCTAATGCTGTTATCTTTTAAAGGGAGAGCCTGGTATCGGAACCAAAGGAGAGAAAGGTATTCCTGGGTTCCCAGGACCCCGGGTAAGGATCCTTAGTCCTAAGCCTCAGTGAGATTGAAAACATTGCTCTTCCATACACGCATGGGGCTATGTCTGTATTGCCATGAACTCAAACATGAAAACTATCTCATACACTGTAATGCATTTTGCCCAAGAATTGGGGTGTCCCCTTCCTTGTATGCCATTTTGATACAACAGGCATGCACAAGACTGGACCACTGGGGGCAGGGGACAGGTCTGTGGCTGCTCCTGTGGGCTCAGTTTTAGGGTGATAGGCACCTGTGCTGGTTGGTGTAAATGCATTTTGTATACTAAGGTGTCTAGGTGTGGGTGCCTCCCAGGAAAGCACTCTGTCAGCTCCTAGATGCTCTCTCACGTCAGTCAGTAATGTACGGCCCACGGAACCACCGTGGAGACCAGTTTCCAGAAGGCTGGCACCGCTCCAGTGCGGCTACTGATTGGTCCGTTCTTGACTTTTGTGTCGTTTTTCTTGCTGAAGCTGCACAGAGTAACTATTCATCTCCATGCAAATGAATGTGCTGTAGATTATTATGCTAAATAATTTAAATTGGAACAGTGGAAAGAGCAAACACACACATCCTCTTCATTAAACGCGGGCAATAATGTGAATTTTCTGAATCAGACTACACAAAGGTCAAGGAGAATGCCACATAGCATATGCACATCGAGTCCATTTTATGCTTATTACACTTTATTCTGCTGTATATCAATGCATATCAAGGCTAAATACCAATACAGCAAGGCTGACAAAGATAAAGATAAAAGCTTCGTGCCTTATGTTTCAATTCTGCTTGTTGATTTTCTGTAATTATTAGGGCGAGCCTGGTTCCCATGGATCTCCAGGTTTTCCAGGACTCAAGGCAAGTGTGCATCCTAGCAGAGGGAAGAATTGTGTTTAAGTTGTACCGTTGTGTGTGCCCAGCAGAGGGAAGAATTGTGTTTAAGTTGTACCATTGTGTGTGTCCAGGAGCAGAGGTGAAGAATTGTGTTTAAGCTAGACTATTGTGTGTGAGCACTGATAGGAGTTGGATGGATTTTCTTTGGTTTTGTTTAGGTCTTAAATTTATTTTACATTTATTTATTTTATCTGTGTGTGCATGTGCACATGTATGACTCTGCATGCATGGGGCTCAAAGATCAGTTTGAGGAAGTCTGTTCTCTTCTCCCACTGTATTGGTTCTAGAGATTGAAGCTCAGGCTTTGTGGAAAGAACTTAACTCACTGAGACATTTCACCCTCAGTCACGTATTTGGGTTTTTTTTTAAAGGATTTATTTTATTTTGCTTATATATTTAAATGATGTATGTTTATATTTCATAGAATATATTATATTTTACATTTATATAATTAATCTAGACATGTATTTATATAATTTTAAATTATTTCATTTACCCAGACATCCATTTATATAATTTTAAAATATACACAGTTATATGTACATGTGAGTGAAAGTGCCCACAGAGTCCAGAGATCATCAGAATTTATGAGCCACCAAACATGGGTGCTAGGAGCCCAACTCCAGTCCTCTGCAGGAATAATGTATACTCTGCCATCCCACCATTTCTCCAACACTCTTCTTGAGTTTATGAGACAGGGTTTCATGTAGTTCAGACTGGACTTGAACTCACTACCTAACTATGTAATTGAGGCTGGTCTTGAACCCCTGATCCATTTATCCTATTGCCTCTCCATCTTAAGGGCTACACACCAGGCTCAGATACCTGCATTTTGTGAATTATACAATGGGTCTCAACCTGTGGGTTGTAACCTCTTTGGCAAACCTCTGTCTCTAAAAATATTTACATTACGATTTATAGCAGTAGCAAAATGAGAGTTATGAAGTAGCAACGAAAATAATGTTCTAGTTGGGGGTGGCATTACAGCATTGGGAAGACTGAGAACCGTTGAATTGCAGCATTGAGTTGTTAGTTTTAAAAACTGAGCTACAAAATTGATTCCATCCCAGAGTGGTGAAGACTGCCCTGAGTCTCTGTGAGCATCCACTGTTTACATTAGGCAGAAGTGAGGTGAGCTCAGCTCGACTCAGCCAGCTGTTTGAGTGTGTCTCTGGTCATTCCTAGGGAGAACAAGGAGTGGCTGGAGATCCTGGACTGTCTGGCTTTCCTGGTGCAAAGGTAAAAACATAAACCCATGGCAGAGAAACTTTTAGACCATTCTGCTATCAACTCAAGGTTTTAGAATATTTCAAATAGTCTAAGTGTAACTTTTGAAAAAGACAGGTGTAATGCTATAAATGCTATTTTAATTCAGGCTATGTATTATGTATAAATAGTTTATTCTCAAACCATTGTCATAGTAACTAGTACATGTAGTACATGAAGCACAGTTATGTTTTTTTTTTTTTTTTGTTGTTTGTTTTGTTTTGTTTTTTCGAGACAGGGTTTCTCTGTAGCTTTGGTGTCTGTCCCGGAACTAGCTCTTGTAGACCAGGCTGGCCTCGAAGTCCCAGAGATCCGCCTGCCTCTGCCTCCTGAGTGCTGGGATTAAAGGGCGTGGGCCACCACAGCCGGCTTGTTATGTTTATATTTGAGAAGTAATTCTTTAGAAAGTGGATAGTAACAAGAGCTTTAACACTCTCAGAAGATCATCAGCTTTTGTGGCATTGCAGAGCTTTTCCCTTTGTTTTGTAACCTCTTTTGTAACAACATTCATGGCTTGTTCAGGGGAAGCCGGGGGCTCTGGGGGTGGGGGTTGTGATTAAGGCGGAGACAATATTTTGCCATTATCATGAAACAGTGTTTCAGGTCTTGCTAGGTGACTGAAATGTTTATGCTAGAATGCCCCATTAGATACTAATGTTCAAAACCTTCCTAAGAAACTTGGTGGCTTACACGATGTTTAATTTATGGGCACACAGTGGGAATTTTGGTACAGCTCCTGCCTTTTCTTTTGTTATATCTTTGTCCATTCATTGTTTTTTCCTGTGTGTAGGTGAGAGGCCAGGTGCCTGTTAGTTCTTCTGGAAAGTCTTGACCGACTCCCTTCTCTAGCCAGACGATTGTTTTTACTTCTTTGATGACTGTGCCTGTGACTTTCTAACCTTTGCTTAATGCTAGGAAGTATGATTGTTATTTCGAAGAAAAGTAAATGAATGAATGATTTTAGGGGGATCCCGGAGATCGCGGGGACCCAGGACCACCAGGTGCTTTGGTAACTCCCCCTCCTCCACTCAAAGGTTTGTGTTCACTTTAATTCTTCCATAACTTATACAGAAATGGACTAGATGGGTCCAGATAAACGAGTTTGTTCTAGTATTCCTGTGTATTGCACAGTAGGAAGGATTAAAGCGTAAATATTAGTATTTAGTTACTTTTCTCATTGCTGTGACAACATTTCTGAGAGAAAGAGAGGCGGGCTTTGTTTTGGTTCATGGTTTCATGATTCTAGGGAAGGCGTGGTCCATAAACTCTGTGGTGGGACAGATTTTGTATGGGGCAGCCGTACTGGGAAGCAAGCAGATAACTGGAATCAGGCACAGGTACTGGAACCAGGCACAAATTTCAAAGTTCCTTCCCTATTTTGTCTAACTTCCATCATCCTGGCCTCATTCCTTAAAGACTGCAGAGCCTCCGAAGCCAGTAACACTGAGTGGCACTGGAGTGTTCAAACTCGCAAGGGACATTTCAGCTTCAAGCCATAGCAGTTATTGTGACGATGTGACGTTCAACATGTCGGGAAAGCTTTGCATCCTGGTTCATGTCCCATTGGCATAAGACATCAAATTTTATTTCAGATTGTAACTATGTAGTGGATATTTTTATTATTTAAACTTTTAGAAAACAGTGTTTCTTTAACTGTTGAAAAAAATGTATGAGGTGATTTAACTAACATCTACCAAGATACCAAGATGCCCATGAAAAGAGATGCTTAAGTCAGTGTCAGAGAACTCTGCCAGAGGTTAAATGTGTCAAGAAACTGCAAAAATGCCTCCAACCTGGACTTTACCAAGCCTTGCAGACTCCTGAGTTTCAAGACGTGTGTGGACATTTGTCTTATTATGTCTATTGTTGCCTTCACCAGGTCCTCCAGGGGACCCAGGGCCCCCTGGCCGCTATGGAGAAATCGGAGATGTTGGACTACCAGGTCCTCCCGGGCCCCCAGGCAGACCAGGAGAAACTTGTCCAGGTATTAGTCTACCATATGTTAGAGTGTATTTCCCACATCCGACTCATAGCAGCGTAATCCTTAATTCTGGCTGACGTGGAGGTTGCCTTCAGAGTCTTTGTGAAAGACACTTGCCTGTATGCACTCCAGCCCAGAAGGCTAAGCGTGTGTTATAACAATAGCCCTGAATTTCTAATGCCTCCAAATTCAAGACAATCAAGGAAAGTAATATAGGTTCCTTTACACCCACACCCACACAATATATGTTATTATAGCATAGATACTCTATATGTATAATGCATATATATATATATATATAATCAGTCAACGAGAGCTGTCGAAGGCAAGTATTTGTTTGACAGGCCTTCCATCAGACTTCCAGTTGCAGAGAGGATTTGAAACTTCTGTTGGAGCTAGTGTTTACTTAGCTGAGCTACCATTCTGGCAGATTCTCCCAGCTGACGTGTACTCTTAAAACCCCATCCATCCACAAGGGTCCCAATATTCTATGTGAGATGAACAAATTACCATAACGATTTTAAAAACCTTTTACTTAGAGGGAAAGGCTCTGCCTCCCCAACCCCCAAGAAAAATCAAGGCAATCATAGGCCCCATGACATTTGACAGAAGCCCAGGGGAATGTCTCGCTGCCATAAGGACCAAGGGCCTCTCTGAAAGCTGTGCTGGTCAGTATTCCAGAGAGATGGGGAATAGCAGTTTGAAGCTTGTTTTTATTCTGCAAACCAGTGAACAGAAGAAACCTGGCAGGAGGAAAATCTTGAGTAAATGTTTTGCCCGACCCATGTCTTGTATTTACTGAGGAAATTTAAAAAGTTTCGTGAGCTGCTGAACCACTAACTACCAAGTTCTTGTTCACTTCTCCCCCGAACTATCTTCTTCCTCATTTAGGGTATGGCAAGAGAAATATCAAAAGCTTTGTCTGGTACAGTCAGTCTTTGGGGGTTGCAGTATGGGTTTAGTTGACCCAGGATTATGTAAAGAAAGAATACTCTGTTGGTCAGGATTAGAAGATGTGGAATGTGAGCAGGCCTTAGGATCCAGTTTGATGCATAGTACCGAATCAATGTGTGTTCAGTTATCACTACTGTGGCTGCTCTCTGTGCCTGCTATGACATAGGCACACACAGTGGAGTGGTCCTGCACTCCCACAGATAACACGTTAGGCACATGCAGTCATTATCTGTGCATGTGTGCCAAGAAGAAAAATTTAAAGATCTCTGCCCATCTACTACATAGATGACTAGGAGAGCACATATTGCAGCCAGTAGATGTGTGAATAGGTTTTCCTGGTTTGATTTTATAAATAAATAGGATGAGAAGATTGAAGAAAACAATACTTTCAAGTAAGAAAACATGATTCCCCATACCTGTGTACCTTTGCTTGTAGCTCCTTTCAGAGGCAGCGATGCATTTTGGTGTATGGGATAGTCAAGTTTTAGAAGACATTTATTTATTTATTTATTTATTATTTATTTATTTATTTATATGGAAGTGTGTGTGTGTGTGTGTGTGTGTGTGTGATTACATGCCATGGTGTGTGCTAATGTTCTCAGAGGCCAGAAGAGGGTGTTGGATCCCTGCATCTGGAGTTACAGGTGCTTGTGAGTCACCTGATGTGAGTTCTGGGAACTGAACTGTGGTCCTCTAGGAGAGCAGCAAGTGTTCTCTTGAAACCACTGAGCCATCTCTCCTGCCTCGTCTGCTAACTTTTTACTGCACCCTGCTCTTCTTTTTCTTTCATAGAATTTATTCAGATTGTTGTGGTGTGGCTCCTGCTTTCGATCTGGCAATCAGTCTTGTGATAAAAGTGGGGGCTTTGCTCCACTTTTTTATGTACTCTTTCTGTGTAGCCTCAATTTTATGATCATTCTGGCTCCACTTCCCAAGCACTGGGTAGCAGGAGTGCATCAATCTCTGCTATCTAGACTAGCCCCACCCCCTCTCTTTCTCAGGTGTGCACTTAAATTTGTGTCTGTGTGACGTACACAACTCGATGTTTGTACACAGCGAGGTGTCTAGTGGATTAACACACTGGCCATGCCCACATGGTCATTATTGGTTTGTGTGCATGTGTGCCTGTATATGTTTGAAAGGAGGATTTTATTTAAGATCTTTTCTCTTAACAGCTTCAAGTATACAGTGTGACTTGGTAACTGTCCTCTGCCTACTACACATTGGATCTTAAATCTTAATTTTTAAAACTTTTTTATTGTTTTCATTGAGCTATACATTTTTCTCTGCTACCATCCCTTCCTCTCTCCTCTCCTTCTACCCTCTCCTGTCGTCCCCAGGTTCCCAATTTACTCAGGCAATCTTGTCTTTTTCTACTTCCCATGTAGATTAGATCTATTTATGTCTCTCTTAGGGTCCTCACTATTTTCTAGGGTCACTGGAACTGTGAATTTTAGGCTGGTTTTCTTTGCTTTATGTCTAAAAACCACTTATTAGTGAGTAGATATAAGTGAGTCTTTCTGGGTTTGAGTTACCTCACTCAATATGATGTTTTCTAGATTCATCTGCAAATCTCAAGATGTCATTATTTTTTTCTGCTGTGTAGTACTCCATTGTGTAAATGTACCACTTTTTCCTTATCCATTCTTCAGTCAAAGGGCATTTAGGTTATTTTTGTGTTCTGGCTATGACAAATAATGCTGCTATGAACATAGTTGAGCACATCTCCTTGTGGTATAATTGAGCATCCTTTGGGTATATACCCAAAAGTAGTATTGCTGAATCTCGAGGTAGGTTGCTTCCTAATTTTCTGAGAAATCGCCACACTGACATCCAAAGGGACTGAACCAGCTTGCACTACAACCAGCAATGCAGAAATGTTCCCTTTACCCCACAACCTCTCCAGCATAAGTTGTGATCAGTGTTTTTGATTTCGGGCTATTCTTACAGGTGTAAGATGGAATCTCAGAGTCATTTTGATTTGCATTTCTCTGATGGCTAAGGATTTTGAAATTTTCTTAAGTATCTTTCAGCCATTTTAGATTCATCTGTAAAGAGTTCTCTGTTTAGGTCTGTACCCATTTTTTTATTGGATTATTTGTTCTTTTGATGACCAATTTCTTGAGTTCTTTGTATATTTTAGAGACCATCCCTCTGTCTGATGTGGGGTTGGTTCAGATCTTTTCCCACTCTGTAGGCTGTTGTTTTGTCTTGTTGACTGTGTCTTTTTCTTTACAGAAGCTTCTCAGAGGTTAAGAACACTGACTGCTCTTCCAGAGGTCCTGAGTTCAATTCCCAGTCAAAACATGGTGACTCCCACCCATCTATAATTAGCAACACATAGAAGAATAAAAATAGGCCATATCACCATGCACAAAACTCAAGTCCAAATGGATCTAAGACCTCAACATAAAGTCAACCACACTGAACCTCATAGAAGAGAAAGTGGGAAGTACACTTGAATGTATTGGCACAGGAAACCACTTCCTACATATAACCCCAGTAGCACAGACACTGAAAGAAACAATTAATAAATGGGACCTCCCAAATCTCCAAAATTTATTCAGCTCACCCAAAGCTTTGTCCCCTGGATCAGTTCCTACATTGTTTCCCACTTCTTTCTTCCCCAACAATGGCCACTCTACTCGTCCTTCTGTGAGTTTGACTGTTAGAGCCCACATGGAAGTAAGGTCACAGGGTGTTAATCTTTCTTTGTCTGGCTTGTTTCACTAGATGTGATGTCAAATAGTTCCAGCCATTTTCCTTTAAATGTGCCGATCTGTGGTCTCTATAAAAAGCGTTACTCTTGAGAACACCCGTAATTTCCATTTTTAATATTTCTTGCAGGCATGGTGGGACCCCCTGGGCCACCAGGGATTCCTGGTCCTCCAGGATTTCCAGGGGAAGCTGGTGTTTCTAAAAGATTCGACTGTGCTCCAGGAGAACCAGGGAAGCCAGGACCACCTGGCCTTCCTGGAGCACCAGGACCACAGGGTACCCCTGGATCAGATGGTAAAATATTCCTCATTTATCTTTATTAGAGCTTATGCTGAAATTCAAAATTACAGATCCATTCAGACAGTATAATTTTCTAAATACTTTAAAACTTGTGTAATATTTCATAAGTTGGTAATATTAAAATTATATCTTGTAAATATGGAAAATGTCATTTAACTATGAATTAAGTAGTGCAATTTATTAATTGTGTTGAATAATGAAAGATAGAATTTCATTAATTGATAATTTTTTGTTTTATTAACATAGTTTTTAATTTTATTGAATTTATATGTGAGCTTGGTTTAAAAGTTGAGCTGTTCTACAGAGCCTGTTATGCAGAAGAGAAATGCCAGGCTTTGTTTTTTCTGTTTCTTCCTCCTAAGAGACAACTATTTCCACACACACAACTGGATCTTTTGATATTTGTTTCTATATTGTCTCCCTGCAACCTGTATTTCTGTTACTGAAGTTTTTCTCTTTGTTCATTGGCTTTTGTTCCTCCCTACAGAATTACCCATCATTCACCACACCTCATTCTATATGTACACATTTTCCATTCCCACTGCCTGCTGGGAGTGATATTGTCATAACTGGGGCTCTGGAAATATTTAGTATTTCTATGGAATGGTTTATAAGTGCTATACACCAGGTTATCTTATAATGACACATTTGTTATTCTTTTCACAGAAACAGTTGATAAATTGTCTTTTGCATGTGTGTCTGTGTTTGATTGACAATCTTAGCTATCTAAAATTAACCTCAAACCTACCAGAGTTTTGTATCCATCATTCTTATGACACTGTTAACTCATGAAATAGCCTTACAGTATACTTTCCCAACAAATCTTTCCTGGAGCTTTTTGACTTTTTTAAATTAGCAAGGCAGCACTTTTGATTAATTGCTGAGATATTTGGAGATTTTCTTTCACAGCTCTCTAAAAATTATTTTTTATAGTTTCTAATGCCATTTAAACACTCTATTGTAGAAAGAATGATGAGGAAAATGTACATTTCTGTACATTTGTGATTGATCACCTTGGCATCCCTTCCTCTCCCCTGCTCCGTACTTCCTCCTGCAGTGGTCCCCCTTCCATTTCCACATCTCATATGCGCCACTGCCCTCCCAGCCCTTCCCTTTAAGCCTCTTTGCCCCCCTCCTAAACCCTTTTGTAGTCTCTTGGCTCCTCTCCTTACTTGATCCCACTTAAATACACATATTTAACCTTTGAAAGTTAGGATCCACATGGGTTTTTCTGAGTTTGGGTTGCCTCAGTATTATATTTTCTAGTTCTATCCATCTTACTGACAGTTAATAATTTCATTGTTCTTAAACATTTTTGAAGCGATGTTTTATTTTCTGCAAAAATTTTTGAGAGGGATCTTTCCACCTAAATATTTCATTATCAAATCATTGTTTTGGGCATCACTGTCATTTTACTCCTTAAACTCCAGGGGAGATTCTGGTGTGAAATCAGCATTTTAACTTTTTCATTTCTTGTTTCTCTTGTCATTTTCCACTGAGGCTTAGATCTCTTGGATTTGTTTTTTACCTTCTATTTTTATTTTCCAGTCTTTTATACTACTAGAATGTTGGGGGAAATGTAAAGCGTATCATTTGCAGTTTATCTGTCATCTTGAACTAGATGTGTCAAAAGTTTTGACTTAGCAAGCCATGCTTTGTGTTTTCTTCATTATCTGGTAATTGGTAAATGAAGGGGGAAAGACAGCCAGTTGCCAGATTCTGACTCTAGCTTTTGTTGTTCACAATTTATTTTGTTTTGGTATTTATTCTTGTCATCTATTTTTTTTAATCTGTGGTCCACTAACCTAGGGATGGTGTTAAGAATGTCTTTTGTCAATGGTTATGGTAGAAGAAACATATTATGAAAATTGTGGAAGATAGAGGGAGGGGAATGAAGGGAGGAAGAGGGAGATAGGAAACCATGGAATAAAACCTGGGAGAGAGACAGGAAAGAGAAGGAAGAGACTGAGTGATTCACACTGGTGCCCTCCAGGGGACATTAACTAAAGTCATGCAATTTTGTCTGATACCCCCTTGCCTCCAAACAGTTATATATTGCAGCCCTGGGTGTCCTGGACCAATGGGAGAAAAGGGAAAAATGGGTCCCCCAGGAAGAAGAGGAGCCAAAGGAGAAAAAGGCAAGTATTTACCTACGGTAGAATTTATACATGACAGCCACATATGGAGGACCAGGGTGAGGGTGTCTATGAGAAAACCAGCCTGGCATGTCAGTCAGGTTTGTTACTCCCCATCCTCTCGCCAGTGTATGCTCTAGTGTGAGTAACTCACAACTCAAGTTCTTCGGTCAGACAAGGGCTTTATCATTTTATCACGCATGACCCATCTTCACTTGAGAATTTTTTTTTGTGCAGCTTCAAGTGTATGGGAATATAAAATAGGTATACAAATCAAACTTTACTGATAGTACGTAACGGAGAAATTTGTTTTAAAAGAATTCTGTAGCACATATAAGCGTTATTTATTAAATATGAAAGCAAGTTTGCATACTCACAGATAAAGGTGTTTATTTTTATGTAAAGAATTTAATTTTGCCTGAATGCTGCAGAATGTAGAGCCTCTTCAATGTTTCTGAGAGCAAGCTGATATTTTGATTTTATAATCAACACTGAGAGCATTGCTTTGCATACATATATAGCCTAAAACAACGGAAGTACATACAGGTTCATTTTAGGAAATCCTGTCCTAATTTCACCAAAATTTATTATCAACTGTTTTGTTTTTTAAACTCACGTCAGCAACTCCAAAGAAATTTTAAAAATTAACCATTTTAACATCATCCAATCCTAAGATAGGTCAGTTTAATATTTAGATGCCAAGGGCTGAAAGGTTTCTCCATAACTAAACCATTGTGCTTGTGTGCACAGTCACAGTACTGCGATTCTCGGCACAGAGCAGTGTGGGATCTGAGATGAGGGGTTTCAGGCAGCATGCATTAGTGTTGTGTGTTCAGAAAAACTGCTGCAGTGGGGTCACGAGACACGGCACGGGTGAGTGTGGGCAGAAACATGCCGTACACGCACTCAGAGATACTTTTTGGTTGCCCTTCACGGTTGCCGGTATTTTCTGACCCCCACGTTTGGTTATCCAGCCCACGTAGGGCTGATGCCCACACACTGGAGAGCAGGTCTACAGGGTGTGGAGGCCATACATTTTGCCTTCAGGGGCAGCTTTGCTCACAGGTCCTCTTGTGCAGATTAGTAACTATCTGTGCTTTAATGTTTTATTGACGTTTCTGTCTGTGGATCTCATGTTTTCCGGACTCACTAAAGCCCATGGTTGTACACATCTCCCCCGCCCCAACTTTTGAACATCTGAGCCAGGCAGCATGTGAGCATAAACACAAACCAATTTGACTTTCCCAAACTTTATTTTTTGTACCCAAAGTCCCGTTCATTAGGTTCTGTTCTGCAGTGAACTAGCAATTGCAAAGTGCCGCTCAATCAATAATCCCTTCATGCCTTGCGTTTCCTTGATTATTCAGGGTCGTGCTATAATTAATCTATATGTTTAGTGTAATTTATTGATTTTTGTTCCCTCAGTAACATTTTTTTTTATAAAAAAAAAATGGATTTTCAATTATCCACCAGAATTTTAGGATAGGTGTGGGTGAGTTTAAGGCACAAAACGTGATTCCGTTTATTTAGAAGCTGTGTGCCCATCCCACATAGACCATGCCACAGACACATCCACCTGGTGCCCAGTGCTTCCTTTCAGTCCTCACGTAGCACGTCACATAGACTACGCCGTCTACCCCTCTACCGCGCTCTGTGCGTCACCTTTGCTCTCCTCATGTTGTCTCATCCTACAGAGGCCACGGCCCCCGTCCTGCTGCACACTGCTCTCGAGGCTCTTCCCATGTGGTCTCGATCCACACACCCCAGCCCCAGCCCCAGCCAGCCATACGCTGCACTCCATCCACATGGCACACGGCCTCAGGTGTCTGTGAAAGAACTGCGCACTGAAGACCTTCTCCTTTTCTAGTCATGCTATTTTTGGAGTAAATAGCTTACTGGGGATTTTTTTCTTCAGGAATCGGGTCAAAACTGACTTTCTACCTCTTTCTAGGAAATGAGGGACTCTGTATCTGTCCACCTGGTCCCATGGGACCCCCTGGCCCTCCAGGACTTCCTGGAAGACAAGGAAGTAAAGGAGACATAGGGCTTCCTGGCTGGCTCGGAGAAAAGGGTGATCCAGGCCAGCCTGGTGCTGAAGGACCTCCAGGGCCCCAAGTAAGTAACTCCTACTGATCGTAATTTGTTTAGTTAAACAAGACAGACACAGATAGAATCTAGTGTGTGCCTTTCCAAATTAATGTATTATATACATTTTACGTTTGGAACCTATAAACACCTTAATGACTAAACACCTTCTCATGTCCATCCATCTATCCATCATTCATTCATTCATTCATTCATAACTAATTACTAATTATCAGGTGTCTACTATGTCCCTAAGTGTCTGGATATACAACAGGGACCCGAATATTATATGAAGTTCTGGAGCTTTGGGGACAACCCAGACTTTATAGTAAACACATTAGTAAATACACAATTTGCTATATGAGGACCAAAGGCCACGGACCATAGAATGTGGCTTGATTGGAGACAGGAAGTAAGTAGCAACACAGAAGGTCCTTGGTTTCATCCCCAGTACACACACACACACATATACACACATACACACACACACACACACACATTGACTAGCTGTTAGGAGAATTTGCAGAGCTCAGGGCTTTGCAGGTGGATCAGGCTGAGGCGTTTGTCCTGAAGGACATAGAACAGCTTAAGAAATCCTTAAAAAGGAAGGCAATACTCTATTATTCATTTTTGATGCCTCATCAGTTGCTCTGTGCAGAGGAGACCCTAGGTAAGGGAGAATGCCGGAGAGGAAGTGGAAGGTAGCTGAAAAATTGTGGGGGGCGGGAAGGAAGAGAGGCAGATTGAAGGGACGGTGCTGAGTGTCAGCCTAGACACAATTTGACTGGCAAGTCCAAGGACTGGCCATTAGGTCAGATACACAATACAGGGAAAATGGAAGTCCAGGTGGAGCGATAGTCTTTGGCCTGAGCCACAGGAGGAAGGCAGTTGCCTTGGACAAGGATGAAGACCCTGGAAACTGGGCATTTGTCGGAAAAGGACACAGAACTGATGGAGACATTTTCGGTTGGGAGATATTTAGACAAACAAATTAAAATGAATTCTGTGGGGTGACAGCTAATGCAAGTACTCAGAGGAGAGGTCAAGGCTGGAGGTGTGAAAAGGGGCTTTATTGGGGTCTATGTGATGTTCAGTACCAAGAAGGGAAGACTGTGGAGAAGCCATACAGACAGAATCATACATGGAACAAAGGTGTCAGAATCACTCTGATCCAAAGGGTCCTTGAAATCAATGAAGTCATAGCTGCGGTAACCTAGGTGAACTAGCAACTTGAAGTCAAAGATCACTGAGACACAGTGCAGAGTTCATCTGTTCATCACAATACGGTGCTCGCTTGCTGAAGCACAGCCTCCCATCTGTCTGACCCCTGAAAATAAAATCACCACTCTCAGGAAGCCTCCCCTGGAGGCTCTAGAGACCACCCATTGTTCCTCTATGCAGGGGTGACCTGTGGCTCCATCCTGAGGTCCCCAAACCATTCTCCCTTTCTCCTAGAAGACGCGAATGAAAAGAAAATTCTGGTCTTTAATGAAAGTGAAGATCCAGATCTCCAGCCTTACCATTCCTGCATGTGCACAGCACACCTGCAAGGCTGCCGCAGCAGGAAACTGGGTCCTAACACATGGATAACGAACAAACATGCTGAAGTTATTGTGTAGTTTGCATACTGTAGTCCTTTTTAAAGGGGGGGGGAAATTCAGTATTTTATCATAGTCAGCTTTGTTTGTTTGTTGTTTTGTTTGTTGCTAGTGACCCTAAAATCCTACCGTGGCTTTGTGTTGAGTGGCTTTTCAGGGCTAACTTGTCTTTCATTGTGGACTACTAGTTTGTGCAGGGTTATTTTGGATAAGGCATTGATTCAGTTGGTCTAGGACCCGTTGGGCTAATTGTACTTCTGATGTATTCTCCCTATATTATACTCATCACACTGTGCTTAGAGCTGGGGACCAGGATCACACCGTGGGAAAAAGAACCTTATTTCTCCTCCTCTTTCTTATCAGCTTCCATTAGCACCACAGTATTCCCTGACTTCTTTCCCCACCATCAGCTCTTTGTAGGCGCTTATGTTACTCAACCTCCTCTTTGCCCTTGTTTTCACTGATCAAAGCTCACGTAATTCAAAATATTTTTGATGATGCATATTTATTTAGGGTATGTTTTATTTGAGACTCAACATGAGGTTCCATATCCATATAGAATTCCCATGTATTGTTTTACCCAGCTTTTAATAAAAGGATTTATATTTTATACTTTTGCGTATATGAGTACCTGCATGCCTGCCGCATGTGGAGGCCAAAAGAAGAAGTCTGTCCCCTGAGCTGGAGCTACAGGGTTGTAAGAGCCATGTAAGTGCTGCTAGCCAAACATATCATCTGCAAAAGCAGCAAGTGCTCTTAAGCGTGGAGCCCTCTCTCTGTGATATCTTAACTGTAATGAACTGCTAAGATAAAGGAGGTGTGGATACTTTTCTGTTAGCTAAGATACAGACTTTACAGAGATTTTAGCACTAGGAACTTTGGATTGTATACGATAGAACTACTCTGAAAGGCAAGAAAGGGATAAAACAAAGATTTCCAAACCAGGATCTTTAGACAAGAGATTTAGAGGAGAGGAGTTAAGTAGACAAGAATATGAATGACTTCTTCCCTACCAGAATTAATCTAATGCACTGCTCTTAATTTTTTTAACCAAGGGAATGCCTGGTGCCTTGGGGTCCCCTGGCCACAAAGGAGCAAAGGGTGACATGGTCACATCAAGAGTGAAAGGTGAGCGTGACTGATCATTTAGCCCTCTGACACTTTATGAATGATCTATGGGCATCCACTTGCACTGATTTCCCCTGTGACTGCAGATCAATTGTGTATAATTTCGGGTTGCTGAGATTGTCTTAAGAGCATTTCCTGCCCTTTGTACAATGGTGTGACTATCGGACACTGAATCTCTTGCCTCTTATCTGAAAACATAAATGCCCCATTAGTGACACATTCGAATCTTCATTGTGGCGAACTTAAAGTTGGAGCGAAATCTCTTTTGAGTCTCCTTATGATGGCTCACTGCATCGTAATGTCCTTTAGTCGTCAATGGAATTCACATGACAAGTAACCAGTGCTCATCTTGAATTAGTTTGGGGAAAATGATATAATTTATTGACCTACTAGACAGAACATGAACGTCAAGATGTAGATTTCCCATTGGTCTATGTACCTACTCACAAGCCTGTCTTTCTCTGCACTACTTGCCCCAGGAATACCGTGCATGAGGTAGTTCTAGGTCCTTGAAATCGGAGATGCTCTGTGAGCTGTAGGTAGAGGAATAACTTCCAAAGGACTGTGTAGTTTAAGGCAATAATCTGTCAACTCTCCCACCCACTACGGTCAGGGACAGAATGTCCCATGCACTGTCACTGAGTCAGGAAGCTTGCATAACATCCCTCCACAGATCACCTCTTTGATAGAATAGGCAAAAGAGAATTTTCCAAATAAAGAGAGCCAGTAGTTTACATAACTACCACTCTTCCCTTTGTTTTTATGATGGATTGAGAGACGTTGGACAACCAAGTCACCAAGGAAGTTTAATCAACACACACAGAGTGAAACACCATTACCCTGAATTGAGTCCCTTCCTCTCTTTTATTTCACTCCTCATGTGTGAGCGCTTACAGGTCTTTTGCCTCCTTTTCCCAGGGCAGAAAGGAGAAAGAGGGCCTGATGGGCCACCAGGATTTCCAGGGTCACGTGGACAAGACGGTCAGGATGGCCATGCTGGAGAAAGAGGGGATCCGGGGCCCAGAGTATGTACAGTTATGCTGTAGAATTTTACTTTCTCATATGTTCGTACAAGCAGCCAGGTATGCAGGAGAGATAAAGCTTTGCTGTGTTTCTACCCAAAGGCATGGAGGCTGATGAAGTCTATCTGGGTCTATCATAAGGATGTAAGAAGTCAATTTCATCCCCTACCACTTCCTTTGCTTATGTTATATTTGCTGTTAGTGGTTCTACATCCAATTATTAGTCTGTATCTAAGGTACAGTGTAATTCACTTTTTGTATCTGAAGCATAGCAAACACACCCATATTATATACATGGATGTAAAGATTCAAAGTATGAATATAAAATATTAGGAAGACTCTCAATTAGTTCTTTTGGGTCACATTTGCTTCTAAGACACTGTCTTTTGAAATCTGGGCTTTTTAATATGCATACTGCTTTGAGTTCACGAACTTTGGAAGATCACTAATAGGTGTGTGACCTTAACATTTCCAGGGTGACCATAAGGATGCGATCCCTGGTGAGAGAGGGCTTCCCGGACTTCCAGGTCCTCGAGGGACAACAGGACCTGTGGGACCTCCAGGACTGGGATTTCCAGGCCCACCAGGAGAGAGAGGCCAGCCAGGAGAGCCGGGGAATCCAGGCATGAGGGGTTTTGATGGCATGAAGGGGCAGAGAGGTAATTTTGAGTATTTGTATGCTACAATATTAATTGAAGTCATGAAAACTAAAGGGAATTCTGCTGGGTGAAGTTACCGTCTCTCTGGCAGGCTGGTTCAATGGATTCCATCCAGGTGCTATAGAAATCTCACAGGTTGTAAGGCAACAAAAAACCATAGCATAAGCAATATTCAGAATAAATCCCTGAAATGCTAATCTCTTTGTGGATTTATTTGTTTATCACACCTAAATTGCTTTTTATTCATTTCTTCATATTAATGCATAAAGTCCACCTGGATTTGAATCACTCCTATGTGTTCAAAGCATAAATTTTTTAGAATCTTTTGAGATAATGTGATATATTTGAATAAGAGCCACACTAGTATTTCATTTAAAAAATTATTGTCCATGAAAACATTTTAGGGAGATGGAAAATGATGATGACATTGTAAGTATGTTTGACAGCTATAGGAATTTCAAAAACTTACTTTCAGGGTTATGGCTGACAGAAAGAGGTTTATTTAAGTTTTTTTTTCCTTTGAGACATGTATTACACCTTGGGTTATAGTGTTAATTTTGACGTTTGGAAATAAAAATACTGTTTGGGGCTCTCGTTCCGACAACACATGAAGACAACTAACTTTGTATTTGATAAGAAGCAAGTTCATGGTATGAGACTCGGAAAAATGTAATATCATTTTTCTTTATGTCTCATATTTTAGCTTGAAAGCATACGAAGTAATAAGCCATGAGGCGTTGTTATGAAAGTGAAATTTTGGGTTTTAGTGGATGAGGACTCGGAGGCACAAGGTTTGAGTTACTTTGCCGATTATGGTGAAGATGACAGCTCCTTCATTGCTGACTTGCTGGGAAAACGAGAGACAGTGTATCTTAAGAACCTGCTCCACGGAGATCTCAAAAATGGTGGCTGTCATTAATATCCAGCAAACCTCTTCATTCGTGCAGCTCCCTGGTGTCCAAACCAAGAGCAAAGTAAGCTGAACTCAGTGCCGAGTCCCATGGCTTTTCTTCATAACCTGTCAGCATCTTCTACCCATTCCACTAGGCTCTGTGGGCCTACAAACCATCGTTGATATTAATAATTTATACATTCCCAGGTTATTACAACAGGTACTTCTTAGACTCAATGTTTTTCTTATACTGCTTGCAACAGTTCTGACAGCTGAGATTCGGGTTTAAGGAGCCATCTGAAAGATTGGTCTAGAGATGCCTGGACGCTTCTCCTCCTATGCACGCCAATGCACCATATGAAAAAGTCTCTTGAATGAGGTGTCACAGAGAATCGCAGGGCATTTGGTGGTGCTCGGTTAATCTAAATGTCATTCTTCTTTGTCTCTCCAGGTGACACCATTTCTTGCAATGTAACCTACCCAGGGAATCCAGGCCCTCCAGGTTTTGATGGACCTCCAGGTATCACCAGTGCAAAGCTCTTGTCCTACACACTTTCCAGAGTTAAAGAACCAAGAATATAGATAAGCTCGCAGTGAACGATCCCAGCCAGGGTACTTCTGGGATTGGTGTGAGGTCTTGAGGGACAGGAGCCTGGGAGGAACACTACAGTCATTAGCTCCTGGGCCTTATCCCCATGGTTTGAGGCCCTTCCACAGCCTTCCCAGACTCTGTGCAGCAAAATTTACCTTGGCTTGACCACTTGCCAGCTAGCCTCTCTGCCCTTGAGAATTTAAAGCTATATCTCTTTCTTGGTCTTGAGTGGGAAATATGACCTGCCTGTGAACAGTACCTTCCAAACAGGACAAGTTCTGACTAGACAGAGCCTGAAAATGTTCCTACATCAGCATCTCTGAATATATGTCCGTGTATATAGTTCATCTGAGTCAGTCCCTTGTGTTTAGCTGAATCAAACCACAGACCCATGTTTATGCTTTTAAAGTTTATTTAAATCAACTTTTTTTGGTACAACATTGTTAGTAAACATGGCTTTTCTTGTACTAAACAAGGATAGAAGAGGACTGGGCAGACTGTTCAATCAGTAAAATGTTGTGGGAGGCTGCTTACTCATTCCTGGCTACTCAGACCATGAAACAATCACACAAAAATTATATTATTTAAAACACTGATTGGTCAATGACTCTAGCATATTCCTAGCAAGATCTTACATATTAAATTAACCATTTCTATTATTTTATATTTTACCACAAGGTTTGTGGCCTACTAGCAAGGTTCTGGCTGCCAGCTTGTGTCTTTCTCCTCTGGTGGCTCCATGGTGTCTCCATGACTCTGCCTTCTTTTTCCCAGCATTCATTTTAGTTTTCCCTGCCTATCTCTGCTCTACCCTATTACAGGCCAAGGCAGTTTCTTTATTCATTAACCAATAGAATCAAAAAATATACAGAAGGACCTCCCACACACCAGTAAAGGCAAGAATAAGGAGAACCTGAGTTTTGATGTCCAGCACACATGCAGGGAGCTGAATGTTCAACATACACATGTAATCCCAGCACTGGGAAGGTGGATACAAAAAAAATCTCAGGGACTCTAGCTAACCAGTCTAGCTGAAGTTGTAAGTTCAAGATTCACTGAGAAAACCCACGAGAAAGAAAGGGTGGGGAGTTGAGTGGGTGGAGAGCTGGGAAGAATCTGGGAGGAGTTGGGGAAGGAGCAACCGTGATCAGAATATATTGTATGAATTTTTTCAATTAAAAAAGAAAAAGAATACATAAGTAGGTAAACAAATACATAATAAGATAGAGGAAGGGCACCTGACATTGATCTCTGGACTCTGTATTCATGAGTAGAAATAGAAAACGCACAAGGCCAACTGCATCTACAGGTTGAATTACGCCTGACTTGCTGCTGTCTTCTGAAAGTGTTTGTTCCCATCACAGTAATTCCAAAGAGTTTCAGCAGCTCAGTGAACACACACACACTAGCTCTGACTCCTGTGAGTCTAAAGAACAGTGGGGACTTGGGCAATCCAGGGTATAGTGTTTTGGTGTGACTGACCCTGGTCCTAGGTTAAGTCCAGATTGGCAACACTTGTCCTACTGCAAAAGCCAGTGTGTGCTCTTTTAATGGGGTTGTAGGACTAGGAGAGGGCGGGCCAAGTCTCCCAGGGTGACCTCCCACCTCAGATTACATCATGCAATTCATGCCTCATTGGCCCAAGTGGTTTCAAATCTCTTATATAACTCTGTGTGTGTGTGTGTGTGTGTGTGTGAGAGAGAGAGAGAGAGAGAGAGAGAGAGAGAGAGAGAGAGAGAGAGAGAGAGATA